CGATACCAATCCTACACGGAACCGAAAGCGACACTTGTATCATACCACCCAGATGCGAAGTGTATAGAATTTTCAATTTTGGCAATTCGCCGGATCCACTTTTTGTAAAATCGCAGGAAGTTGAACATGGTGTATACACAGCAAGATGCATAGTTAATAGCAGTTACCCAATTATTAAAATTATAATTACCACAGATGAAGTAAAACATGTAAAGAATGTAAATATTCGGACTGAAAAACTGTCTGACTATTACGTTTATTCAATTAATAAGACCAAGACTGAAGACTCCCGAACGAACGAATTAACAAATATTTTGAAAAACCAAATCCCTACAGAAGCTAACAGAAATTTACTTGACCTTTGCATAAAATATGCAGACATTTCCGCTCTTGACAACGACAAAATGACATTAAACAATTTTTATGAACAGAAACTTAGGTTGACTGACACTGACCCGGTATATGTAAAAATTATCGTCTACCATATTCCCAACGTGAAGAGATAACTCGCCAAGTTAATAAATTACTAGATAACGATTCAATTGAAGGAAGTTATTCCAATTACAATAGTCCTCTAATTTTGATTCCTAAAAAGTCTACTAATGGTCAAAAAGCATATCGTATGTGCGTTGATTTCCGCGCAGTCAACAAAAAACTTATTGCGGATAAATTCCCTCTCGCACGAGTTGACGATATTTTGGACAATCTTGGCAGAGCTAAATATTTTTCTACTTTAGATCTTTTTTCTGGATTTCACCAAATCCCATTGCATGAAGATTCACGTGATATAACTTCTTTTAGCACAGACCGTGGAGCATATCGATGGAAAGTATTGCCATTCGGTTTAAGTATAGCACCCAACTCATTCTCACGAATGATGAGTATAGCTTTTTCTGGTATTCCACCGAACGTAGCATTTTTATATGTAGATGACATTATGGTCATAGGCTGTAGCGAAGCACATCACATTAAAAATTTAGCGAAAGTTTTCGAAACTTGTCGAAATTTCAATTTAAAACTAAATCCAAAAAAATGCAATTTTCTCAGGCCCGAAGTAACGTTTTTAGGGCACAAATGCTCAGCAAAAGGTCTGCTGCCAGACGATTCGAAAATAGTTGCAATTAAAAAGTATACTAAACCTACTGACAAAGATGCAGTACGACGTTTTGTCGCATTTGCAAACTATTACCGAAGATTTATCCCCAATTTTGCAACTCTGGCAGCACCTTTGAACAAATTAAGTAGGAAAAGAGTAGATTTTGTTTGGTATGAGAAATGTGATGAAGCTTTTCAAGCGTTACGATCAGCCCTAATGTCACCGAAATTGCTACAATATCCAGACTTTACAAAGCAATTTATTATTACAGTTGATGCTTCAAAGATAGGGTGTGGCGCTATACTTAGCCAAGAACAGCAAGGTTGTGATTTACCAATATGTTTTGCCTCAAAATCATTTAACAATGCAGAACAGAAAAAAACAATTATCGAATTAGAACTTCTAGCAATCTATTTTGCCATTAAACAATTTCGACCATACGTTTATGGAACACATTTCTTAGTAAAATCAGACCACAGACCTTTAGTATACTTGTTTATTATGAAAGACCCCTCTTCAAAACTTTCAAGAATAAGATTAGAGCTAGCAGAGTACAATTTTACTATTGAGTACATTAAAGGGAAATTAAACGTAGGCGCAGACGCACTCTCACGTATAACGATAGACGAAATAAGGGAATCAACGAAAAATATTTTGGCAGTACAGACGAGATCAATGACTAGACGAGAAAACGACAAAGTGATACAAAATAAAGATAACAACGAAGATGAAAAACAGGAAACATTAAACGTTTATGATAAATTTTCTTACAACTTTTCAAAAAAGATACCGCGTATTAGATCAGAAATTACTTATGATAAAAATGATAAAATTAAAAATTTACGAATTTGTGCACATATTAAACATAAAAAACTCGAGTTACTTAATTATGTCTTTGCTAACGAAATAATAAATTTCGATAATTTACTTTCGAAGCTTGAAATTGAAGCCAGCAAACACAGAATTAAGGAGATTGAATGGCCAAAAGACGATGAATTTTTCCGTCATTTCACAATTGCTAGCTTAAAAAATCGCGGGAATATAATTTTAAAATCATTACAAATAATTTTAACAGATCCAGTCGAAACTGTGACTGAAAATGACAAAAAACTAAAACTAATGACCATTTATCACGACGACCCAATATCAGGAGGTCACTGTGGCATGAAAAAACTTTATGCGAAACTTAGAACAAAATATTATTGGAAAAATATGACGCGTGATGTCGCCAAATATGTTAAAAATTGTCAAAAATGTCTTTTAAATAAAGTAAAACCAAAAGTTAAAGAAAAACTTGTTCTAACCCCAACGCCGAATAAACCGTTTGATATTGTTGTTATCGATACAATAGGACCGTTACCAGAATCGAAATATGGTAATAAGTTCGCAGTTACCATTATTTGCGATCTCTCAAAATATTTAGTTACTGTTCCTATACCAGATAAAAGTGCTAAAACTGTTGCATCAGCAATTTTTGAAAGATTCATTTTAATATATGGCATTATGCACTCTATAAAATCCGATTTAGGGACTGAATATAAAAACGAACTTTTTGATGAATTAACCAAACTTTTAAAAATTAAACATGACTTTTCGACAGCACACCATCACGAAACTGTAGGTGCAATAGAACGAAATCATAGAGTATTTAATGAGTACTTACGAGCATTTTTAAATGAATCATATTCCGACTGGGATACATATTTAAAATATTTTACTTTTTTGCATAACACAACCTCAAACACAGTTTTTGATAATAAATTTACTCCATTTGAACTGATTTTTGGTAAAAACGCTGTTTTACCAAACGAAGTACAAAAAGTTAAAATTGATCCAATTTACAACGTTGATAATTATGCAAAAGAAGTAAAATATCGTCTGCAAAAATCCCATGCACTCGCTAAAGAACTCGTAACAAAACATAAACTCCAATCGAAGCAGTCATTTGATAAAAATGCACGTCCTGTACTAATTAAAGAAAAAGATACGGTTTTAATACAAAAGGAACCTAGAGATAAACACAGCAATATATATCTGGGTCCTTACACGGTACAGAAAGTAGACGGTGTAAATGTTACGGTTTTCGATAAAACTAAAAATAAATTTAAAACGGTTCACAAAAACGGAATTCAAAAGGTCACTTAACATATTTTTCTGAATTTTTAAACATGCAACTGCATATGCATTTTTCTATTTTGCGAAATTTCTCAATTAAACTAAATATGATTCTTTCACGTCACTTATACAAATATGATGTACTGCGTTATAATGTTACAATATTAAGCGACTTGATTTAAATGTGTTTATAAACATGCGTGATAACTACCATTTTGTAAAAACAAAATAAGAAAACATGAAGTAATAAGTTTCAACAAATACATACATAAGTATTAATACATAAATTAAAAATTTTGGTTAGTAATTACTTAATTTACTCATTATGAAAAATGCGTATAATTAGACGTACATAAAATGATATTTAACTTAAGACAAAAAGAAAGAAAAACCTATACTTAATATTTAGCAGTCAAAAATAACAAAAACAAATATTAATTTTTATATAAAGTTGATATGTTTCATGCAAACTATAGAAAAGAAAAAAAAAAGAATTTGGTTAGACATAGAATTAATTTTACGAAGAAGAAGAAAAAAAAAACTAAATTATATTGTACTCTAAAAATTTATAAATTACAATAGTATAATTAGTTGTTACAAAATTAGTATAATAACTTATACGTGGAACATTTTTTTTGTAACCTTCGTATTGTAACTTCAAATTGATATGGACGAATGAGTTAAAGGGGGAAGGAAATATTTTTTTGACTACACATCTCATTCCTCCACATCAATTTGCCATCGCCTCTTGGAGCAATAGATTATTGTAAGCCTGATCACCTTACAACAATCTTTCCCAAGAAGGGTGATGTAATGGCAACCCTAATTCAGCACTGACAAAAGGTTTGTTCCATAGGCAAACTTGCGTTCCACTTTTAAGTTAAGCGGTATTTTAGAAAATTTTAGAAGCGCATTCATTTCGCACACTTTAAACTGATCGGTTGTTTTAGCCTTGTGTGTAATAAACTTCACTTAAATCAATTTCAAAACGGTGTTTATATATTATGAGCGAATGTAGTTGCCGCGGGTGCACGATAATTAAAAGTTTAATTTAAAAAGAACATTTTTCAATTGTGAGTGTGAGGAGTCAAACTCCGTAAGCAGACTCGCTACCCAACCAGCAATAAGGAGCCAGCACTGCAACCAAAATTCTGCGTATTTAAACCCAAGCCGTTTAAAGCCTCAGCGGAGCCCTAACTAGAGCCGGAACAGTCCGACGTGTCAGACGCATCACTGGTGGTAACCAGTCCAGCATTTCTGAGTCTTGGTGCTCCTAAATACCAGAGGTAAGCAGACACTAATATTCGGGTAGAAGGGCAGCACGACAGCGCACATCAACACCAATAAAAAATGTACCGTTTGGACACCATCCAATGTTATCCATTCCCCTGGCTGATGTTTAGACCGTAACCAGAGATCGTTTTTTTTTCAAACGTAGTGAACAATATTAACAATCTTTTGTAAATTTCGATATCAAATGAAACGTAAAGCCCAAAATACAATAGCGCTGCGGCAGTGGCAGTGAACAGCTGATTTCGCAAAACTGCCACTGCGTTATTGTATTTTGGGCTTAAGAAACAATATGGGTCCTCACACCGAGCTCGGTATTCGGTGGCGCGGTGCCCGGTAAGTTTTTCTAATGTATTTTGTTTGTGTAAAACAGTATAACACAAACAAAATAAATGGCAAAATCTACCGAACAACGATTTACCAAGTACCAAGCTTCGGTGTGAAGACCCATAATATCTACGATGCATGTAACCTACCTATGTATCGGTGTGTAGCAGGACAACGTCTGCCCGGGATAACTAGTTAATAATAAAAATGCGAATGTTGCTTTATGACATATTTAAAAATCCTTGCCCACTGACCGCTTGTGACTTCTGAAATTGATACAGATTTTCTTACGCTAGGTACATTTTCATTTTCGATGGTCATTTCATTGTCCTTTTATAAACAAGACGTTGGCATTTTCAGCTATATTTTTTTATGGTCATTATTGTCGCTTTATTCCAATTGACTTGCGTGTTTGTTTCAAATTATATGAATAAGGCTGACAAATAACACTGACGACGACGAGGAAGACTTTTCCTGGACAATAACGATGATGACGGCGACTATGTTGGTGGACGATGACGATATTTTGTAGAAAGATGAATACTAGTGGCAACATCTCAGCTGTCAAAACGTACATTTGTTTATTGAAGCTTCAAAATCAAAACAAAATGAGTGCTTCCGAGGATTCTTTGGTAAATTGTTAATTAGCTAAACAAAATTTAGTAAAAAATGACATTCTAGATGTAATATTTGTAGGTTGTGTCTCTGCTCTTGGATGAGCGAAGTGAATTGCGCCTCAATAGAAAGGAAGAAGTTGTGAATGAACTTTTGGATGGCGTTTTTGCAAGCTCCAGCTCTTCTGAAGACTCGGAAGGCGAAACCGAGGACCACCCCAAGTGCAACAATTTTGAAGCGACTCTCGATGCCATGGGTGGGAGTGATTTTAAGATGCACATGAGACTGAAACGCGTGACGGTGGAATACCTCATAAATAATATCCAAAAATTTATTGAAATAACTACTTAACTACAAGAGTCCGTATTATTTTCAGTGAGGTACTCGCAATATAACTACGTTCCTGACCCATCTGGCGGGGGAAGACAACCGGTTACGGCCAAAAAGTCTCTTTATATGTATATCTGGTACGTGAGCAACACAGTGACCTTTAGACAACTTGGAAATTTATTTGGGGTATCTCAGTCTGCGGCATGGTCAATAGTGCAGCGTGTTACTGGATTTTTAATTTCCATTAGGAATGAACACGTCAAGTGGCCAGAAGGACATTATTTAAATGCAAATGTGGACAAATTTTACCAGAAAAAACGCATTCCTGGCGTGATTGGTGCGATCGATTGCACGCATATTGTAATTAAGAGACCAAAAGTACAAAAGGAAATGTACTTTAATCGGAAAAGAACATACAGCATAGTGCTTCAAGCTGTAGTCGATGCTAACAAAAAGTTCATCCATATTACTTGTGGAGAGCCAGGGTCGCTTCATGATTATAGAGTGCTAACAAGATCCAAACTCTTTCAGGACGCAGAAAATCATTATGAGGAAATGTTTCCAAATTCATATTTCATCATCGGCGACTCAGCCTATCCGTCAACGAAATGGCTGGTGTCACCTTTCAAAGATTATGGAAATTTAAATGAATCCCAGCGAAAATTTAACGAAATACATTCTTCTACAAGAATGGTAGTTGAAAACGCCTTTGGGTTGCTAAAAGGGCGATTTCGTCGACTTTTGAGGTTTACAGAGCAAACCGACTTGAAAGTGATAACAAAAATCGTAGTCAGCGCATGTGTTTTGCATAATATTTGCATATCTTTTGACGACTTATGTGTTATCGATGAACTATATGAAGCGATTGCCTTTGCTCAAGAAGAACAACAAGATGAGTTTAATCTGAATGAAACGCTTAACAGGAGGCAAAATCTTTTTAATTATTTAAGAGTAAGTATTAAGAGTATTATTTAAGTAAGTTATGATATGTTTATTACATTTTCAGATAAAAACGTTGAAAAAATATATTTCATTACTTTTCTTCACATCTAGGAACACAAATTTTTATAAGGATATATCGTCACTAGAGACGAATGAAGGCGCGCTAGTGTTTCGACGGCGAAAAAAGACGCATAAAAAAAAATTTACGAAAAAAGGCGCTTAATAAAAACTTCGGCGAAGAAAGACGCGTAATCATAGATTTATACTTGGCCAAGGACTGTCACTTCCGCATTATTCGCCAAAAACTCTTTACGGAATATACATACTATAACAACCGCAAACATAGTTGACCGCGAAAATAAGTTTACGCGTTCTTCTTCGCCGTCAAATATTTTAAAGCGTCTTTCTTCGCCGTCAACTATGTTAAGAGTCTTTATTCGCTGAAGTTTTTTTATGCGCCCTTTTTCGCGGTCAACTTTTGAGCTCGCGCCTTTATTCGTGTCTAGTGACGATATGTATATCACATGATAAATTCTTCTTTTTCCTTAAATCGTATAACTAAAAAAGGTTTTTCATTACCTAACACAATAAATTCATTTTGTCCTTAAAAATAAGCCAAAATATCACATAATTCATTTCAATACTTAGCTTAAAACTTAAAAATATCACAATACAAATTAAAAAAGTGCATATCAAAATTTCCTTAAGTCTAATTAAACACAAAATAGAAAATACAGAAATTTAGAAAAAAATATTTACAGAAGTCAGTTCCTATTAACAAATTTTTCATCATAAAGATGATGACGGCGACTATGTTGGTGGACGATGACGATATTTTGTAGAAAGATGAATACTAGTGGCATTTTTTTGTAAGCGAGCGTTACTCGTCAACAAAACGTACATTTCTTTATTGAAGCTTGAAAATCAAAACAAAATGAGCGATTCCAAGATTCTTTGGTAAATTTTTAATTAACTAAAAAAAATTTAGTAAAAAATTACATTCTATATGTAATATTTGTAGGTTGTGTCTCTGCTCTTGGATGAGCGAAGTGAATTGCGCCTCAATAGACAGGAAGAAGTTGTGAATGAACTTTTGGATGGCGTTTTTGCAAGCTCCAGCTCTTCTGAAGACTCGGAAGGCGAAACCGAGGACCACCCCAAGTGCAACAATTTTGAAGCGACTCTCGATGCCATGGGTGGGAGTGATTTTAAGATGCACATGAGACTGAAACGCGTGACGGTGGAATACCTCATAAGTAATATCCAAAAATTTATTGAAATAACTACTTAACTACAAGAGTCCGTATTATTTTCAGTGAGGTACTCGCAATCTAACTATGTTCCTGACCCATCTGGCGGATGAAGAAAACCGGTTACGGCCAAAAAGTCTCCTTATATGTATATCTGATACGTGAGCAACACAGTGACCTTTAGACAACTTGGAAATTTGTTTGGGGTATCTGTCAGCGGCATAGTCAACAGTTCAGCGTGTTACTGGATTTTTAATTTCCATTAGGAATGAACACATCAAGTGGCCAGAAGGACATTATTTAAATGCAAATGTGGACAAATTTTACCAGAAAAAAACGCATTCCTGGCGTGATTGGTGCGATCGATTGCACGCATATTGTAATTAATAGACCAAAAGTACAAAAGGAAATGTACTTTAATCGGAAAAGAACATACAGTGCTTCAAGCTGTAGTCGATGCTAACAAAAAGTTCATCGATATAACTTGTGGAGAGCCAGGGTCGCTTCATGATTATAGAGTGCTAACAAGATCCAAACTCTTTCAGGACGCAGAAAATCATTATGAGGAAATGTTTCCAAATTCATATTTCATCATCGGCGACTCAGCCTATCCGTCAACGAAATGGCTGGTGTCACCTTTCAAAGACTATGGAATTTTAAATGAATCCCAGCGAAAATTTAACGAAATACATTCTTCTACAAGAATGGTAGTTGAAAACGCCTTTGGGTTGCTTAAAGGGCGATTTCGTCGACTTTTGAGGTTTACAGAGCAAACCGACTTGAAAGTGATAACCAACATCGTAGTCAGCGCATGTGTTTTGCATAATATTTGCATCTCTTTTGATGACTTATGTGTTATCGACGAACTATATGAAGCGATTGCCTTTGCTCAAGAAGAACAACAAGATGAGTCTAATCTGAATGAAACGCTTGACAGGAGGCAAAATCTTTTTAATTATTTAAGAGTAAGTATTAAGAGTATTATTTAAGTAAGCCATGATATGTTTATTACATTTTCAGATAAAAACGTTGAAAAAATATATTTCATTACTTTTCTTTACATCTAGGAACACAAATTTTTATAAGAATATATCGTCACTAGAGACGAATAAAGGCGCGCTAGTGTTTCGAGGGCGAAAAAAGACGCATAAAAAAAAATGTACGAAAAAAGGCGCTTAATAAAAACTTCGGCGAAGAAAGACGCGTGACCTACTTGACGGCTAAGAAAGACGCGTAATCATAGATTTATACTTGGCCAAGGACTGTCACTTCCGCATTATTCGCCAAAAACTCTTTACGGAATGTACATACTATTACAACCGCAAACATAGTTGACCGCGAAAATAAGTTTACGCGTTCTTCTTCGCCGTCACTATGTTAAGAGTCTTTCTTCGCTGAAGTTTTTTTATGCGCCCGTTTTCGCGGTCAACTTTTGAGCTCGCGCCTTTATTCGTGTCTAGTGACGATATGTATATCACATGATAATTTCTTCTTTTTCCTTAAATCGTATAACTAAAAAAGGTTTATCATTACCTAACACAATAAATTCATTTTCTCCTTAAAAATAAGCCAAAATATCACATAATTCATTCATTCATTTCTTCTTTCTTCATTTCTTCTTCACTTCAGCCTCCAACTATTTTAACTCCAATTTTACTGGTAATACAGTTCTCGAGCAGAACGCTTTTTTCGTCCCACTGGAGCTGAAGAAGAAGCAGCTTCTAGTGGTGGTGTTCACCGATTGTAAATGTGGCGATGACGAAGGGCTTTCCATCGTCGATGGTGAAGCCAGAGATGAAATTGACGATGTTGGCGACGGTGATGGTACAGGTGGCGGCACGTCTACCGACACCATCTCAAATGATCTGAAGCCCACGTGGACGGTGTGGTCATTTGAAATGATAGGAGTGTTTCCAAAGATTTCGTCCACCAGCTCCATATAAGCAGCAATACATGGGCTGGCACCTGTGCCGCGGAGGCCGCTCTGAATCCTAAAAGTATGATTTATTAATTAAGTTCATTGTTTTTTTTTTTTGTATATATAACCTACGGTGATCCCCAAGGACACTATGTCTTCCAAAACATTGGCGTAAGCGACCCTCTTCCTTTTGAAATGCTCAAATTCAGCTTTCCGGGCAAGATAGCACCTTAAAAATCCCACTGTCTCCTCACGGGACCATTTTCTTCGCTTCCTATCTTGATATCTAAAATTTAAATAAAGTTTTAATTCTCAATTTAACAAAAACTCTGCAGAGTAATTTTACTTAAGCTTGCTCCATTTTGTTTCGTTTTGTTTATGTATCTATAAAAAGAAAACGAATTTGACGTTTGCATGAAATTTTCCCAAGGATTTTTCAACAGTTCATTCACAATAGAGCTGCTTTTTCACTTAACAGCACTACGCATCGGGTTGCGTATTTTTAACCGACCTGGCTGAACTCGGATAAATAGCCGAGTTTGTGTTGTTGCTTTGCATGTATTTCGTTACTTTACCGAGTGTTTTTTTGTCACTCGTTTACAAAAAAATACACCTAGTGTTGATGGACGATACTGATGAATAATTTTGATGGACGACAAATACGAAGACGGCGACTAATTTGATGGACGATTACCATGAAGACTAAGGGCCGGTTACTCAATGTCTGGTTAACACTAATCTCCGTTTAAACATCATTATCGACGTGTTCGGCTCCATGCATATAACATGGAGTCGGTAACGTCGATAACAATGTTTTACCGGAGATTAGTGTTAACCAGACATTGAGTAACCGGCCCTAAGATTTTACCAATTTACATTATTACAATGCGAATTTAAAATGTATGTAGGTGTTTTTTGTATGTTTCAAATTGGTGCATTTTGCACCCGCTGCTTTGCTCGTCAAAATTGGAATACTTTTTACCAAACGAAATACTACTGACTACGACAGGGTTGCACTCTAGCGATCAGTTGTGGCAAATATTCAACAGTCCACCTCTTCCACAGCCGGTCCTTTAAATTTTGTGCGATGCACCACTTTTCTTCTGGGCTAGGCGTTTGCGGTGAGTTAAGACAGCCTAACAGAAACGGTGTGAGATGGGCTATCGGCAACTGACCCATAAGCAGAACTGCTGGCTTTGCGTTGGTATGAATGCACATAGAACACTCCCTCTTGACTAACTTTAGCAGAGCACGCGCACGAGGCACCCAAAATCTTTGTGGCATTTCGTTGATTGTGAGACTGTCGTTCTGGTGGTGAAGCTGGCAGTGATATTTCGAGACATGTCACGTAGTGATTTTGTGGCAGGATAACCGGGCGCCTGGCTGTAATCAGAATGCAATAAGCAGCATCAATTCTCCCGTTTACCTTCAGCAAATCATCGACGTCTATAAAAGGCGTTAGCTGATATAGAGAGCTCGACTTCGGCAGACAACCCTTGTTCTTAATGGCTTGGATTTCATCTGCAAATGACTCGAACTGAATGCGGCGAATTATGTTATTTTCAGCGGCTGCGAGTTCAGCAGAGCTCAAATCTCCACTTCGGCGATCATGTGACTTCGCGTTATGACCAAAACGTAGCACCCAAGCAACGACTCTAATTATCTTACAAATGACGAAAAATTACCAAAATTGATTGGATACTGTATTCACAATGATGACACTCGTTTCGCAACTTCCTCTAGTGCACATTCATCTGACGTCAGTTCTGGGATTGCCTGTGGCCAGCTTGATGCGTCCTCCCGAAGGAACTCTGGTCCTGCAAACCACCTCGATGTCATGCTATATTCAAATGACGTAGATGCTCGTGTTGCTTCGTCTGCGACATTTAATGACGTTGGGATCCAGCGCCATTGTTTTATAGATGTCGTGCTTAATATTTCGGCTACTCGAAACGCTACAAACTGTTTGTAGCTCCTACTTGTAGAGCGAATCCACAGTACGACCGTTCTGGAATCGCTCCAAAACGTCGTGCTATTCACTTTAAAGTCGTGGCAGCGCTCGAGGGACTCCCTCAGACGGCAACCCAAAACTGCAGCTTGTAACTGAAGGCGAGGCATTGTCAAACCTTTTAGTGGCGCACACCTTGCCTTGGCGCACACCATAGAAACATCAACTTTATCGTGTTTTTTAACACGTAGGTATGCAACAGCAGCATAAGCTGAGGCGCTGGCGTCAACAAAAATATGCAGCTGGATATCATCAGCGACTAACTACATTTTTGAGTAACGCCGTGGTACCGAAAGACGTTTGACGGACTGGGCGTTCCTCCACCACTTAGACCACCGCTCTACCAATTCGTTCGGAATAGCGTCATCCCGCTGCACACCAATTTTCCACAGCTCTTGCACCAGCAATTTTGGGCATATCGTGTTATTTGCTAATAGGCCGAATGGGTCGTACATCGACATTACTATCCCCAACAGTTCTCGCTTGCTTGGGGGTCATATGCCGTTAAGAACGTCTTGAGCAATGTTATGGAATCGAAAATGGAATTCTAGCCCGTCGCTAGCGTTGTTCCAGAACATTCCAAGAACCTTCTCTGTTGTTGCTTGACGCTTCATTCTCATGATGGCTTTGCCCGCAGATCCGCATTCACCATTCAGTTTATGTTGTACCGATTTGTTGTTGGATATGTGACTAGCAACTGTGCCTGCAACTGCAGCTGCGTCGAAAACAATGCGAAGCTTCTGCGGCTTGTGAGGGTTGGTGACACCGAAATAGGGGGACACCATGTCGTGGACCCACGCGGTCGGCTTCAACAGACGTCAACTGCTTTGCATATCCCTTGTCAACGTACTTCGTAATCTCTCTGTTATAGCTGTCGACGAATATGGCATCTCTCTGCATGCGTGACTCGATGTTGAGCAGACGGTGTTTGGCCATTACATAGCTTTGCGGAAGATTGACCCTCTCTTCCCGCCAAAGCAACCCAACTTCATACCTCTGGCCGAGGTCTCTGGTGGTTTCGGCCAATACTTTTCTGGCACGCTGTGTGCATTCTGCCTCCAAGGCAACGTTGCTCATGACCACGAAATTCTCCACTGAAAAGTATTCCTCCACAAGTTTGTTCAACTGACGTAAAGCATCGGATTTACGAACATACAGAACCCTAGGCATGGCAGCAGTTTCGTGGCAATGTGGTCCGTATACAACCCAGCCCAACTTTGTATTGATAGCGACTGGCTGATTGTACCTGGCTGCGACTGCTTTGATTGGCACACTTAAATGGCAGTTGTCCAAACCAAGTAACAGAACAGGCTTTACTTCGGCGTAACTTTCCACCGGTAGTTCTCTTAGATGCACGTCCTCGGACTTGTTGAACTATTGCCTCGGGAAATTGAGGCCTTTGATGGTAGGTATACTTTTCAGAGAGTAATTGCGACCATTTACACGTCTGACATCTAACGACACTATTTTCGAATACTCTGTAGTTTGGCTACCTCCATACCATTGCAGTGAAAGTGGCATGGCACTTCCTTTCAAACGGAAAAACTACATCCTCATTCAGCAGCGACACGGATGACCCTTCGTCAAACATGGCGTGTACTTCTACACTTCCATGCGGGCCAATCAGAATAACAGGCAAAATTTTAAAAAGACTTACTTCCTTTTCTCGGCGGCAGTTAAAGACGCGTTCACGTTCAGCATTCGATTGTGACAACAGACGATTGGATTGCTGAAGCAGTTGATGGTGCATGTTTTGCGATGGCGTCAGTCGGATAAACCATGACCTGGTTTTAGGCACCCGAACAAAACGATTTTGCTTGACAAACTCCCACCTGGCTTCGCAGTCCAGCAATTCAAATTTTCGACAAGATGTTAAGACGTGTGACTGGACACAGCAAAGACACAGAGGTTGCTCCTCACTGCTATACATGACCCGATGTACTGGACCTCCGCTTGACATTGACTGACGACTGGAATTTATATTTTGTTGCAGCGTTCAGATCAGGCCGACCAAAGTTGAATTGCAACTCCTCCATCACCTTTGGTATGTCGTCTAGGTACATAAGCATGGAAGTAACCGGTCGATTAGCATTACCCTGTAACGCTTTCTGCAGACGCATGAGGTTCTGTCTGTTGCCATACCCGAAATCAGCAGTGGTGTCGATGTAGTTGGCGATAAATAGTGGCCAATTATCTGGATTACCATCAAATGCTAGCAACGGGAATAGCTTAGCGGCAGACCCTTCAATAAACGCCAACACATTTGATGGTGGGGGAATCGGAGGCTGAGCTGCGGGCCGAGGCCATTGCGGTACACCTTGCGTTAACTGTTGATGTGAAAGCGGTATGTCTGCCAAAATATTATTGGTAGCCGACCCTTCTGTAAACGCCGGAGGCTGTGCTGCAGGCGGTGCCAATAGCTAGCTGTGGATTCGAAGGCGGTACGTTTAAGTTGACGTCATTGTTTGCTGAGTGTATCTTCATTCGCTGGCGGAGTTTCTGTAATTCTGGTTGACTGCGGCTGGTTTCATTGTGCAATTTCTGCACGCTGGCTCTAAGTGCGGTAATACTTGCCACAAGCGAAGTTTCATCGCTTCCAACGTTTACCTGTGCCTGCGTTGTGGTATCCAGCGCCCCGATGTTCTCAGCAGTCGCATCTACATCAGAATCTGAATTAATGGAATCAGCGTCCGCGGCATTTGGGGTTCCGTTTGCCTGACTTCTCGTGAACATAGTTACGAGGCGATGCAATTCGGTATTATGTGCTTAACAATATGTTCGGCGAAATATAAGTTTTATTTTTAGGCATGCAAGCAATAGTTCTACACAGCGTTGAAAAAAATAAAATTGCGAATTTAATGCCCTAACGAACGGCGAATGTTAACCGCAAGGCGTAACGGAATACTCATGTAACAAATGGTACATAAAACTATACAGCACGGCAACGGTAGATTACAATTAAACAAAAAATAGTTTATGAAGCGGCAAATTTCTAATCATCTATAGCTGCAACTTCCAAAATAACGGTTTCGAGCTCATGCCCGGCAACGCACACATACACGCAAACAGCATGTAACACGAAATATTTTTGATGGTTGAAAAATGCAGTGATCGATTCGTTAAATCTGGCTTAAAATAAAATAATTTATTGTAATTCCCCCCTGCCTTATATTTAGATTTGTTATCATTTCATCATTCCTAAATACCTAACTTATAAGTGCGACGAAATGGTATCAGCTATTTCGCTACCGCTCTAATTCTGTTAAAGTAGGCGAAATGGCAGGGCGAACGGTGAACGACGGCATCGCCAATTCGGCGGACTTCGCCGTTCGTCGGGTATTGTGTTAAAAGCATAATTTTGATGGACAATAAATACGAAGACGGCGACTAATTTGATGGACGATTACCATGAAGACTTATACGATGTTTCCACACTTCGTAATTCGCTCTCTAAGTAATGCGATAAGTAATTCGTGAATTACCCTGTTTCCACGCCACACATTAGTAATTCGTTTGGCAGCTCTAGTTCTTGTTCATGTTCTTCGCTATTTATTATTACTTTGTGTACTGCAAATTTCGAAGATGGAGCTAAAATTTAAGTTATCATCAACAATTTTAATTTATATAGAGAATATTTTATTAATATTATTCTATAAGTAGAAAAAGTGCCAGCAAATGGGACCACGCCGGTGAAAACTTCGATATATCTTCGATAAATATTAGAGAAGGCACCGATTCGTTCGTCATTCGCATGGTAATTCGATCTGAATTACCTACAAATGAGGTAATTCGCTCTCAAAATTTTGTATGGGGAATTACGTAATTCGGAAGGTAATTGGCAAGGCGAATGACGAATGGAAGAGCGAATTACGAATGAGAGAGCGAATTACGAATTGTGAAAACGCTGTATAAGGCTATCTGCACACTTGTCGTCCAATCATATTGCGTTATCGTCTTGCCCTGAATTTTTGAGACGAGTAGATGCATTTCAAAGGAGATCTGCACACTTGTCGTTATCGGCTAGTTATCGGAAAATCGTAGAAGATGCATAAACGGATAAGTACGGCACTGTCGTTTGCTAATCGTTGTGCACGCATTGTTTGTTTACATTTTATGGGGAAAAATTAGTGAAAAAATTTATGTTTGCATTAAAATTAGTACTTTTTTCATAAAATCTGTGGAAATTATTAAAAGGGGATAATTGCATTAAAATTCAATAAATGTGACGTTTTAACTATAAAATATGACGAAATTGTAAAAAGTCTCTGTGTGCATGCACAAAACACATTTCAGGAAAAGAAAAGAAGAGATATTACTGAAAACTGATGTTTAGAATTGGTGCAGCACAGTCTATATTTAAAAAATTGCAGGTTTTTGTAAATATTTCGCGAAAATGTCAACCAACCACCAGAAAATACCTGCTCCAAGTGAATTTTTAGAAGCCAATTGAATTGAAATATCACGACCGAGTGTGCGAAAGTGTAGTCGTCATGTAATCGTTGCATCATGATTGTGACGATGAAGATGAAAGGCTAAGATTTTACCAATTTATATTATTACAACGCGAATTTAAAATATATATACGTGTTTTTTGTATTTCTCAAATTGTTGCAGTTTGCACCCGCTGCTTTGCTTTGGAATACTTTTTGCCAAACGGTGAACGGTATTTTATATGTATGCATGGTGGTATGCATGTTTGTCGATTTCATTTTCTCCTTCCCATCCTTCGAAGTCGAAATACTACTGACTACGACAGGGTTGCACTCTAGCGATCAGTGTTGTGCAACGACATGGGATCTGGCCGCAGCACATTTCCTGATAAATCAGGACGTCTGATCACCCCAGTTACGACAGTACGCAGAATGCGAAAAGGGTTTAAAATCTGACAGTAACTTTATTTACCGGTTTTGTTGCCAGCGCAAAATATGCATTTTAAACAGTATTAAAAATATTGAACCAATTAAAACTGGCCTGGCAGAACATGTTTTGTTGGGAAAACATATTTTAAAAGAAAATAATTTTATATTAGTCGCTTCTAAATTGAAACGCAACCGCTTAAATATTTTAAACAATTTAGAATCTATGTACATTCATTTACATAAGAAAAACAATGTAAATCGTGACGTAGGTCGACATTTCTCTTCTCAATTCTAAAGTGAATTAGCGTGTTTGTATTTATATATTGGTCTCTCCTTCTTCCGTTTAAAACATTCACGTCATATTTTGATGGAACAAGTGCAGAATACGTATATTTCTCAAAAAAAAAAAAAAAAATTGAGGAATTTATACAGATAACAACGACATAATTTGTTTTTAGGGGAAACAAAAACTGTAAGTTTAAGTCAAGGTCAAAAGTAAAAAAATAAAATTCTTCAAACTTGAATATCTCGTAAACTATTTTAGATATTTCAAGGACGTTTATTTCACTAAAAAATCTCTCTCCTTAAAAAAACTAATTTTTCTTGAAAAATGGAGTGTTTTTCTAAAAAAAATGCGTGTGTAACACCGTACACATGATATAAGTGAAACTTCTTAAAAAAGGTGTGAGTACCAGGTATATACTCACGAAATTGGATGTGTAAACAATCTTTACGGTTCGGCAAACCATTAGGCGATTGAGATACATACATAGGTTTGGTTAGAAATCAAACAATAATTTCATTTCATCTTATTAATTTTCTGATATCCATATAATTTATTCGTTCATTTTCCGGTAACACCACCTTATATGAATTCGCGCTTCTAGCATCCATAGGACAGGGTTGTAATGGAAGTAATTGCATGTTTAACAAATAAATGAAAATGTTTATAGTGCAATCAATAGATCCTTACGAATTCGCCATTACCAAGGCACTAAGTAACGTAGGCACTTTTGTTTGAAAAATGCATTTATTTAAGTTGAAGGAATACAAATTCCTTCGTTCGGCATTTATTCATACTCGCTTTCTATCTTCCAAGGCGAATTCATATATTCTTATCACGAATTCATATATTCATGTGGTAGCAAGAGTGTAAAAACATAAAATTACCTTATAAATTAAAAGCATAAGTATCACATGTATGCGTAGTCCAATTCACGAAATCATTTCATCGATCTGAGTAAAAACTAAGGTGCGTATTCATAGTCCATCAACTAAGTCGAAACTAACAAAGTTGCAACTTAAATTTAAGTACCAACTTAAAATTTACCTCTAATCATAGTCGCATTTCGGACTTCTACTAAGTAGTTTCGACTTAGTTTACGATATAGCAAAACGAGTGTGAAAATGTATCGATTTTTCTTTACGATATTTTGGAAAAATTACGTTTTTATTAAATAATGTCAAGTTTGATCATCCGCTTATGTAATTTTTATTTTAATTGCATGATTATGCAAAGGAATAAGGTATCATTTTCTTGTTAGTTGTGTGAAATAGCCAGAACAACCGCAATGATGTGAAGTCGATGTTTATCGAAAGCATGCTGTGAAACATACAAATAGTATATATCTAAATATTATGCACAAATTTACTTTAAAAGAACTAGCGTGAAACTGACTTATTATTTGAGAATTTATCTAAACTATTCCAATTATAAAATTGTGATGTAGCTTTATTCGAATTGTAATACGCATTTAATTTCATCTTCCGATTAAAATGGATCGATCTTTGTAAATTTTAATTGGAGATTATTCAATATTATCAAAATCACCCTCTACCAACTTAATTTTTACATATTTCGTCTGTTTTCCCTTAATTTGATAAAATACTTCTTCCTAGTTACGACTTAGTTGCAGCTGCAGACGAAACTAAATTTTAAGTTGGTACTTAGCCAGAAAAGTCGAAACTAAGGCGACTATGAATAGCTTTAGTTGTGACTTAGAATAGTTTCGACTTAGTTGAGTACAGTATATTTTGCTTAGCTGCACATCATTCTTTGCACGAAAAACTTGTGCACGTAACCGAAAAAGGCACTTAAGCGAATTTTCTTTACTACTTCAATGAGGAAGGTATCCGAATCCCTATAAAACCAAATATTGGCGGAGCCCTTACCATGTAGAAATTACTGCAAGCGAAATTTTTACCGATTGCTATCTAATTATCTATATAACTACATAAATAGCCATTTTCATTGTTCTGCGAGATGAGCAAAATAGGGCCAGTGCAGGTAAACGTAATACTTTCATTGATAATTGATACTAGTCGCACAATTTTTAAGGCAGGTATCGCCAATGTGCACGTATGTTGAATGCATCTATAGGAGCAGTTTCCTTATAAATTTTAAAAATAATGCCTCTGATGCGCATTTTGAGGTAGGTATCTTAAATGTGCACTTAAGCATAGAGGCAGCAAAGCAAAATATACTGTACTAAATATGACTATGAATATGCGCCTAAGGGCCGATTCTCAATGTCTGGTTAACACTAATCTCCGGTTAAACATAGTTATCGACGTTACCGACTCCATGTTGTATGCATGGAGTCGAAGACGTCGATAACGATGTTTAACCGCAGATTAGTGTTAACCAGACATTGAGTAACCGGCCCTAAGTGCATAAACTCTAATTGAAATCATGAAATGGTGTTCATTCATTCAGCTTCTACTCAAACGCATGAAATGATTTCATAAATTGGCCTACGCATAATGGTAGTAAATGACAGAATGAATTACAACAAACACATCCTTTTGACATAATGCAAGCCGAAATCGTTGGTTCAAATCAATCCGCAATCAAGTTGGACGCTTTGCCCACAAACAGTGCAATTTTGAGAGCAGTCTCATTGTAAAATCTCATTTTTATAATTTCATAATTTCGACTTACATTTATAAAATTCAACGAAAGCACGTACCTATTTCGGCTGAGTTATCCATTTTCGGTTATTTATTTAGGGCCGGATTTTCAATAGACTGATAAGAGCCGAATAGCTTTTATTCAACAGATAAAAAAAATTACGTTTTTCAAAAAGCAGTTAAGTGTTATTCGCCGAATAAAAAGCTTATCCAAAGAATAAATTTATTGGGCGAATCTTTTGCCAGATAAGAGTCAAATAACCTATCTTTTTAGTTTTGACGTTTCTATTCGCGTGTTCATAAAATTTACCAAATTTACAATTTACCAAAAAATGGATCTATTTGATATTTTCGACGACTTTTTAATTGACGAGGAAGAAGAAATGTTCAGGGGTGTTATTTCCAGAAAGGAAAGAGCGGTAAATGCGAGACCTAACCATTTTGACAATTGGGAACATGCTGATTTCATTCGAAGGTTCAGGCTTTCAAAATTTGCAGTTCAGCATCTGTTCTCATTAATTGGCCACAAAATAATCATTTAACTTCCAGGTTAGTTCATTTTTGCGTTCCCGTAAAACATGTTTAGTTATTTGTAAAAGCTAAATAAATCTTACTGCAGAAACCAAGCCGTTCCAGGAATGCTACAGCTTCTGATTACCTTACGTGTTTATGCTACAGGGAGTTTTTATATAACTTTAGGCGATTTCGCAGGCTTACATAAGTCCACAGTGTGCCAAATAATAAAGAAAGTTACTCATTCCATTGCTTCACTGAGTCCGAAGTTTATTCGTTTACCGCAAAACGAGGAAATTGTAAAAGTACAGGAAGAATTTTACGATATTGCCCGATTTCCTCGCGTAGTTGCCGCTCTTGATTGTACCCACGTAAGGATTATTTCGCCAGGTCAGTCCAATTTATATTTCTTCGCAAGGAATTTTTTTACTAGTTACATGTCCTTACCTGAAATGCAAAAGGCCGTGGCCCACATATTCACCTGAATTACAAAAGGCCATAACTAACAAAAAATCCAGAACTAACTTTCCATAATTAAAATGCATTTCATCGATACAGAGCTTTATGCAAAAATAATTGTTAGTTACGGCTTTTTACAGTTCAGGGGGCGATATATGTACATATCGCAAACCGTGTTCAAAAGAGTCACAACTCAAAATTTGGAATTTTTGAAATTATGCGCAAAAATGTACAGAGCTTTTATTTACCTTTCAGCAAAAGCTGGAGCAAATTTTTGTTATAATTTGTTTAAAAAAACCTAAGGTAAAGTCGCCCTTGCCCATATGATTAGCATGTGCTACGAAATAATTTTTCGCATTTTCTGACGAACGTATTATTTTGAGTTGTGACTCTTTTGAAGACGGTGTGCGATATCGACTGCTGAGTGGAAAATCGACCTATCTCGGCAGCCAGTTCGAGAACGTCCCATCTCAAAAAAACTTTTTAAGAACGCTCTACATATTTCATAATTGAAAAACTCCGTTTCTCAGAATTTGATTGAAGAATGCCATATTTCATAATTCGGTTGAAAAACGCCCTATCTCAGCTGCTGATTCAAGAACGCTTTATCTCAAAAAATTTTCATTATATGTATTTTCAACTGAGATAGACCGTTTTTAATCGGCTGCCGGGATACGTCGACATTCCACTCAGCAGTCGATATGCGGATTCCAAAACACATTAATGCAAAGCACTCAGACTTTCTTTTACTTCTAAACCATATCTACTCAGAGAGGAATTTTAGTTTTCAACTGTTGCGCAAATCGGAAAGTGTTTTAATTTTTGGGAATGAAAGAGCCTGATGCTTTGCCTTAATGCCAATGTTGTGTAATCCACCTTACATACACATCGACTTGTATATATGTATGTACTTACATATATTCATACCTATACTTCAGGTGGAGATACAGCGGAAAACTTTAGAAACAGAAAATGTTATTTCTCTATAAACGTCCAAGCTATGTGCAACGCAAGACTAAAATTTCAAAATATAGTTGCGAGATGGCCAGGATCTACCCATGATAGCATGATATTTTTGAATTCAGCGGCTAAATGGCATTTCGACAACAACAATTTCAACAATGGTATAATTCTTGCAGATAGCGGGTACTTCTTAAATAATTATTTAATTACACCTCTTACGGCGCCACAATCTCCAGCCCAGCGCCTCTACAATGAATCCCAAATAAGGACAAGGAATGTGATAGAACGTTGCTTTGGAGTATGGAAGAGACCGTTCCCAGTGCTAAGCATCGGCATGAGGTGTAAATTACCATTAGTACAAGACATAATTGTGGCATCGGCAATAATACACAATCTAGCAATCGAAATGCATGAAGAGGAGCCGCCAGTTGACCCCGAAGTAAATGTTCAGGTGGAACTAACTTGCCAAAATATGGAGTTCGTAATTTCAGATGATAGTGATACACGAAACTCATTGTTAGAATATTTCGAGTCATTAATTAGACTTTGAGTTTATTAAATAAATAGTATGTACATACATATGTATGCAAATTTTCAGTACAAAAATTCCTTTATTTTAATATGGTGCTTATCATAACTTTGCTACACTCACATTTTGACAAGAATTGACTATTCATTTTATATAAATCCAAGTACAAATATTTACGAAAGTTTGTTGGTTTCTTTTTAAATGTTGCACAAATATTGAAACTTGGATTTATACGGGTAGAATAAACTATACTTTTATAAAAAAATAATAAAATTAATAGTCCATTCTTGTCAATATGTGAGTGTAGTAAAGTTATGATAAGCCCTGTATTTGATAATGGTATTTGCCCCGATTTAGAAATTTTTGCTTAGGTTTAAATGATGCAGTTCTTCTTTACTCTTTTCTTCATTAATATAGTGAGCCATTCGAAATTCATGTTCTGATGTTTTTTGTTCCATCTCCTTTTTCTTATATTCCATTTCTTTGAGAGCCATATCTTTTTGCAGTTCTACCAATTCGATTCTTGCTTCCGTAAGGTGATCAAATTTGGACTTTTTTACATTCTCCGTCTTTTTTGGTTTCTTCAAAACAGGTGTGATTGGAGTTTTTAAGGATTGAGGAGACCACCCGTCCCAATGGTTTTCGTTATTGACTATAAAATAATATAATGAAAACACATTAATATTGCTTGCATAAAATGTAAGTGAGTCAAAATTTGTGAAGTGAGCCACCATTTTTTCAAAAGTCGAGTTTTTTGTGTGAAAATGTTTATGGTTCCAAACGCTTAAATAAAAGGTATTTAAGTTATCTTTAAATTGGCATCAATACTTTTCTGATATAAGGAAGTACTTGGAAGAACAACTCCACAGCAAACTTTTCAGGCTAGAGCTAAAAGCCTAAAAAGCTTGTAGTGGTGTTCCACTTTTAATGTCTCTCCATTTTCGCACTCGGTTTGTGTTCACCCTAAATATCCATAATCAAAAGCTGTTGGAGTAGCACTCCTTTGTGCCGGAAACTACGAACTCAGCAAAACCCCAGGCTTACCAGCGGCGCCAACGTCAACATATGCACGCAACGATTGCATCGAACACAACGCGCCAGCAATCAAAAAGGGCTCCAAGTGTTCCTAGAGAAATTCGTTGTGTAAACGTACGCATAAGTACATTTTCATGAGTTTTTTACAACCAAAGCCATGTGGATTTTCCATTGTTTAGAGAATCATTGCAACTGTTCGATATATTTTGTTCAAATAAACTATTTAAATATATATTTATTGCAATAAATAACAACTTCAATGTACATATGTATGTATTTTTGTTTTAAGTTTTGAAAAAATTTAAAAAGTCAATATATTCCATTTTAGTATGAAACCACGCAATTTCTCCAAAACAGTATTTAGGAAAGTTGAGTGTTTTATTATTCTTACGTCAGGAACAGATTATTGGTGCTATTATTGTATGTACCTACCAAGGTTTAAAAACTGATTTATTAGTATTTTTAGTTGTTTCAAATGCAAAATACTACACTCAGTAAATACGTGTAACACAATTGTTTTGGTGCTACCAAATTTTGTAAGTGAAGCTACGGTACGGTTTAGTTTTTGTACAACGATTTTGTGTTGCTATTTTTGCTAAATTTACTATATCTGTGCACTATTTTTATACCCGAGCGCACTCTTGCACAAGGGTATTATAACTTTGTTCACATAACGGTTGTTTGTAACAGGCAAAACGAATCGAGATAGATATAGACAAATGTATACATAAATGATCAGAATGAAAAGAGAAATCGATTAAGCGGTGACTGTCTGTCCGTCCGTCCGTCCGTCTGTCCGTCCGTCCGTCCGTCTGTCCGTCCGTCTGTGCACACGATAACTCGAGTAAAAATTAAGATATCTTAACGAAACTTGGTACGTGTACTTCTTTCGGGCGTAGGACGGATGGTATTGAAAATGGGCAAAATCGGACAATAACCACGCCTACCTCCCATATAACGGTAATTTTCAGAAATAAAAAGCTGCGATATTTTAGTAACTACTGAAGATAATTCACTCAAAATTGATATTTATAATAAATTTTAGACGAAAAATAAGAATATTAAACTTTTTTGAAACTTGGGCGTAGCCACGCCCACTTATGGTTACATGTGTATATCTTGGTAACCGCTGCACCAATTTTTCCAAACTTGGCACAGTTGTTGGCCCTGGTACAGCATACAAAATGGCTGAAAATTTTTAAAATCGGACAATAACCACGCCCACATCCCATATAACGGTAATTTCGAAAAATACGAAATCCTCGATAAATCAGTAAATATTAAAGCTAATTTATTCAAAATGATGGTTGCAACAATTCTTTGCCAGGAAATACGTTTATGATAAAATTTTGGAAAATGGGCGTGGCACCGCCCACTTATGATCACGTATATGTATCTCGCTAACCGTTCTAGCAATTTGTACCAAACTCGGTATGGTTATTGTGCTTGCCACATAAAAGTAAACCATTGAAAATTTTTGAAATCGGACTAAAATTACGGCCGCTTTTCATATAACGGTTAATTTCAGAAATGCTTGAGATTTCAATATTTTGAAATTTAAGGACGCTAGTACACGCCGGCTTATCATGTAGCGGTAGCTTTCGGAAAGGTGGAAAACATATATTTAATACTTGCGCCGGGTATTTAATGTTCGGCTGTGTTTCTAGCAGTAAAGGGAAATTCGCAACGTTCCGAATAAATAAAAAAAATATTTTCCGTACGTTTGAAAGGCACTTAAAAATGCGTATACTTTTCGTCACGAAATTGATATCATAAATTTTGTGTTTCTAGTTCAGCTTTCGTCACTCGAAAATTTTACCTCAAAGAGGTGTTTTATTTGATATCAATTATTTTGGGGTAGCAAATTTAAAATCGACGAAAATACAAACAATAAACTAAATGTTTTTTTTTTGTCTCAAGTAAATTGCTAAAACTATTCTCTAAATCTAAATTATGTATTCAAATCGATGTGTCTATTGTAACAAATAGTTTTTCGAATACGGAATAAAACGAAAAAGGATGATCAAGGATATGGTAATATCAAGGATGATATGTATTCGAAAAAAAATAAAAATAAAAAAATATTAGAAATGATAAAAACTTATCAACTTGGTACCAACTTTGGATACAATAAAC